GAGAAACACAACATGAACTGCTGCATCACTTCCCTTCCAATTCATACATTCTCAATAGCAGTTCCAGCTTCCTCAGTGGTGCAGGAATGCATAAAAATGACAAGCAAAGAGCATTCGTTTTCTTTTTTCCTTCATACTATTTTCCTGTAAATGGTAGACAAGGGTTCTTTCTCAAAGCACTTAAGCTGAGGTTGTTTACAATTGCTGAAGGAAAATATGACTGAATTCTCCATGCAAGAAAGCACAACAGTTGTGCTGTTTCTTTTCAAGAAAAAGTTTGAGAAAATCAAGTACTGTATTAGTATCTCAGAATCAAATGTAAGATTAGCATTCTAGCTTAACTGTCCATTATTCTTTAATTAGGAATATTTTATTTTTTAAGCATTCTGTCAACTCATCACCTTATTTTAGCACCACTCAAAGAGTTCCCAAATTGCTTCTAATTTTAAATATAAAAGACTTTCAAATTAAAATATGCCTTTTTTCTTTTTAAAATATCTTATTTGTATAAAATACTTAAAATTTTATTTCCATTGTCTTTTTACTTTTGTGTTTCATTGCAAGAGCAAATTCAATTAATAATTAAAAGTTTATTTAACCATGATCAAGTAAAAGCAGGATGTAATATGTAACCTGGCTGTTCTTCTGGAATTTACCCATTCATATTTTTCAAAAACTAGTACAGTAATTGCTATAACTTGACTCATTTTTTAACGATATGGGAAGTTTTCAGACTAAAGCTTAAACATACATATTTTAGTTTATAGTAACTAAAAACACACCCCCACCTCAGTCTCACCCTCTCCATTCTCATAAAATGTCCCCAGTGTAATGATGGTGAAGGCAAAGTCTAGAGAAGTCTGAAGGTTATGGACTACTGGAAATCCAAAACAAAACAAAAGCAAATGACATCCTGAATGTCCCCCCTCTCTTTTTAGGAATGTCTGTAGCTAGCCCAACATCACAGGTCTCAGCAGAAGCATGCTGATGTTGGCACAGCCTAAACCAAACAAACAAGATGTTTAACAGTCAAATAAAATGTCCTGCAGCCTCCCTAATGAATTTGTCAAGAACCATCCGATTTCGCTCCCCCTCTTTTGCCTCATTAACTCAAGTATGATGAGACGGATTATAACAAGAGAATACAGATCAATGGGTCTGAAGACTTGAAGTGGCTTTTAGCCTCTCGAGTTTCTTTCTCTCACTTGGTCTCCTTTAATAGACGACGGTATCTCCTGGAGAAGGGGCTGCCACTTCGCTTTAATACGCCATCAAGGAGCTGCTGATGGACTTCTATACTAACATACATAAAAGCGGAGGTGACAGGGGCTCTTCAATTACAGCCTCCTCGGGTACCGTTTCCCCCCTTCAATTATTCAAGCAGAGGAAGCGCGGGGACGGACACACACACACACACACACACACACACACACACACACACACACACACACACACACAGCTGACGCGGCTCGCAGGGCAGAGGCAGCCTGAGAGCGCGGTGGGGTGGGGGAGGGGAGAGGGGACCCAGCAAGAGGGAGCATTATTTGCTGGAAGTGTTTAAGTTTATTGCTGGAATGATGTTTCTAATTAGTACCGCGGCAATAAATTAAAGTCGCCTTTGTTTAACTGATTTATTATTTACTAGAGCATCTACCTTAGACAGGGTAAATTGGTAATGAATTGTTTTTAAATCAAAACATTTGTAACGTTTTATCATCCCTCAGCCTTCTGGATGCAAAAATGGGAGAAACGCGGGGACAAGGGTGCGCGGAAACTTAGTTGTGCTTGGCAGAGCCGGGAGGAGAGGTGGCGAGGGGTGCCAGATGACTGGTGGCGGGAAGATCGGCGTGGCCTGGGCTGCCCCACCCGAGAAGAGAGGGCGCGGACTGGGTGCTAAGCGCCTGCCTACCCGTGGAGCCGGTCGGCTGCGGCGAGGCACAGGAGCCCTGGGGATGGGCTTCTACCATCACCCCGGGGCCTTTGCGCGAACACTCACTCCCAGGGACTTCGTGGGCCAGGCCAGTCCACGCGCGAGGCCTTAGCCGCCAGTGGACCAGAGGCGATGAAGAAGCGGCACCTCCAGGGTCTGGGAGGGAAAGCTCTGCACCCTTTAGCCCCGCCACAAGTCTCCGCCCAGGAACTGCTCTCTGGAGAAGCTACTCGGAATCCTTTCCCGACTGGTCACACAACGCCCCGCAGCGAAGTGCCCCTCCTGCCCAGTAATATTTCCCAGAGTGCCGGCGTGACCCGCAGGCAACAGCCAGGCTACCGACAGAGCCTGGGCTTTCCACACGCGCAAACCCCGAAGGCTGCGCGGCTCCCCTAGATCCTTCAGCCGCCAAGGATTCAGACGCGAGCTGCATCCCCCAAGAAGGCTGGAGTCTGGCGGCCGCCCCGAGTCTCGGCTACTCCAGTGAAGTTGACCAAAGCTCTGTGTACGAGTTTAGAGTATGCTGACTTCCGACTGATCCCCACAACTCCTTGCCACTGAAGACAGATTCTAGGCAATGAATCCGACTTGATTTTTTTTTTTAAATAAAGGACGGAACAGTTTTTAGAAAGGGTGACAAGGTACCAGTGGTCCTACCAGATGTGTAAGAAAGAACCAAGAGGTCCCACTGTCTGACGTCCAGTAGGAGAGAAAGAAACTTTCCCCATGCAACTGAATTTAGATTCAGCCGGTCCAGATGTAAGAAAGCAAGTCCTCCCAGGGGGAGTTGCAAAACGAAATCTTCGTCCCAACGGCTTCATAGAGTTTTATTCTTATATAGCATCACCGCAGAATATAACATCCCATCTCTAACCAAAAATAATTCTATCTACTTGATTGTCTTGAAAAGACTCAGAAACCAGATAGACACCTGAGGTTCAAGCAGAAACCCCCAATACTAAGCAAATCACAAATACTTAATAGCTTTTTCATCCACAAGTACGGAAAGGCTACAATGGGTACAGTTTGAAAGGATAATATATATACTAAAAGCACAGGCATGCGTTTCATGGAAATGCCAAGGGAGGAGTGAAGCCATCTGTGTAATCAATAACAGGGTAGTTATAGATTTTTGCAGCATTGAAGTCTTTTAAAAGCAAGAGTCAATTATGAAAATAAAATCATTTTACAAGTGAAACTGTGTACTGCCTGAGAATATATTCAAAATTAGATTTACAACACTGACATTTTAAGAAAACTTTAACTCAGGTTCACATTTACTGCCCTTCTTTATATTAAGTTTAAAACGGTTTCAGTGGCTTGTTTTAATTTAAATGTATATCCAACAAAATTTTACCATATATAAATTTGCACCATGTCTCACAACTGAAACATATTTTTAATACTAACTCTTTAGTCCTTGAAACAATAAAGTCATAGTACTAACTATATATGAATCTTAATTATGAAGTAATTATCAAGCAAGGTGCTTGTACTATTTTTGCCCTGCCTCATTTTTCAATAGCATATGGAAATTACTGAAAAGAGATTTATAGTCATAAACCCACACCGCATATCCACTCTGGCCCCGCACTGGTGCACAAACGCAGCAACCGATCTTGGCAACAATGGGAGGGGAGGGGAAGAAAAGGGAGGAAGACTGCTGGAGGAGAAAAATCTAGAAAAATTTAGGTCCTTTCCCAAATTCCCCTTCCTCCTCCCATTTGCCTTCAAGCGAAAGTCATTTTGTTAGAGTTTGCATCTTCTTCACAAGGTTGATAGGAAAAAAAAAAAAAGTGAACCTTTCTGAACCACTGCTACTCCCCTCGCGTTCTTCCAGCCATCTCCAGGAAGTCCCTTCTATATAGACTCTTTTTCTTCCTTGCAACTGATAAGAGAGGAGGATAAAGAAGAGGGGGCTGTAAAATGTGTGTGAGCGTTTGACTTCTACTATCTCCTTCAATTTTCTTACTTCTCTCTTTACCCCCTTTATCAAGCGCAGCGGTGGCTGCTACTGTCGGCCAAGCGTGCCTGTCTTCTCTCTCGGATTGGCTAAAGCAGTGACAGCTTGGATAGCGATTGTAGGACCTGAAGCTCCACCCCCCTCTTGATGGCCCTGGACCATTCATAAACTAAATAACTCCAGGAAAGAGAGAGAGAGAGAGAGA